TTTCTTAGCGAATCGCATAGTATTTCAGCAAATACATAAAAGCAATAGAAAAGTATATAAAAACGGTTGAAAAACCTCATGAATTCGTCCGCTAAAGGTATTCAATATTTGCTCTCCACTTATAATGCGCTTGTAAAAAGCATTTAAAATATGAATGTAAATATAGCAACTAGGGAACCAAGGAGAAAACAACAGCTTTTTAAGCATAGGAACTCCCCATGACAAATTAAAAATAAATACTTCATAGGGAATGAAATAATTTCACCTCCAGCGAGGAAACCAAGCACAATACTTGATGTCTGTTTGAATGGGGGAACATCCAACCTGTAACCAACTAATTGTTGGTGTATAGTACATACGATTATCACGTCAAGTTAATGAGACTGAAATGGCACGCGATAATTGCACGCAGACCTAATAATAAATAACGTATCATGAAACAAAAACCCTGGAAAGAATACAACAACAATGGTGAATTGAGATTCATAACTTACAATTCGTGTGGACGAGTGCCAAACCCGAATGTTTTGCTGACGATTTATGACGAGGCGGCAGGCCACCAGAGCCAAGGCACGCGCCAGTTACGAATGAGTCCACAGCCCATCGTACACATATATTTCAAAGACGACCACCGATTGCTTTAAATTGTAATTGTTATTACATGTGGGTCAGCACAAAAACAGTAAACCTACTATATATATATATATATAAACACAAAGACTATTGGAGGACGGGCCAACACACAATACATACAATTATAATGTTGTAAACGTGAACAAGTCAAATTTAAGAACTCCAAAACGTATTTATATAATAAAAATAAAGCATTTCAACAATTAGATATCGTGTTAGGATTGCCGAGTGCACGATTGACCCACACCGATGACGTGTTGCGCGCGCACACGTTAACATTCAATACGGTAGTGTCAATGTAAAATTGGCCAACGACAGCCACTACCAAGCCGAGGGCATGTCATAACGGCAATAGCTAATATAAAATACCATAAAAAAAAAAAAAAAAACAACAACAATCGTCGACGATAACGAAAGGCGGCAGCGCAGACTGCAACGCAGCGATGCACGATTATTGCGAAACTAAAATTGTTACTCTGATGTAGGTCATGTTTTCACGAATCTTTCATATAAGGCGATAAGCCAATGCATATAAGTACAGCCACTCCATCGTTTGTACATCAATGCCAAATAATACTCACTATCACTGTGTCTACTGGCTATTGAGAACGAATTGCATGCACACACGCATACACAAAAACGATCAATACTTTTAGTAGTAGTGTATAATTTATAAACGCGTGCAAAAAGGAAGTTCAAGGTCTGCGCTGTTACACTGCTGTATGGATATATACAAACCGTCAGTGGTGTTGGTGAATATTTTTTTATTTATTCAAATTGGCCTCCCTCTTTTGGACGAAAGGCATAATAATAAGTTAAACGTGTAGATAAAAAGATGTTCTATTCCATTTATTATACAAACACAATCGACACTTTCACAAAAAAAATATATGCCATGGAAGAATTTGGGGAGAACTGATTATGACACGATGGTGTAGCAGCTGGACTAAGAAACAGCTGTTTAGGCAAGGGGAAACTGGTTTGGTCTACAGCCGAATTGAGAGGGATACATCCATTTATAATAAATGCGTATTAAAATGGATGTGTAGGCGCAACTGAAAACCTAACATTGGTAAAATATATATATATACACCTTGTTATGTAATGTAAAGGGTAAACTAAAGAAAAACGATAGGATCAGTCCATAGAAGACTATTAATATAATACATTTCTATGTTTCATAATTTTGAACTATTATATATTATTTAATATATGAATTATGAGACATGATCAGTTTTGACATACGCATAGTATATAATAATAGAGCAAAAGAAAGGCAGGTGTTATTACTAAATGATTGCAGAATGCCCAGAAAATAAACCGATATTTTGTTTTTTATTATAAACTATTATTTAACAGCCAATTTATCTGTTTATTTACATTAGAATACCGATTAACATAATTATCAATAACGACATAGATTCCCAATTTGGAATCCATAACATAACCCAAGGCCATTTACCGGATATAATATTTTCAATTCTATTTATAGACAAGTCTAAAAAGCTATGCATGGGGGGGTATTTCGGTATATTATTCAGAATAAAATGAACTTTGGGAGCATGTTGTAAAAAACCTTCGACGCCAATCAATCTAATTCGAGGGTAAGTAATTGAAGACAAAGATATATTGTACTATATCTAAGATGAATGCGCATTACTCAAGACGAATAAGCCACTTTGATATCTAAATGGATACTCGTCCACCTTGTATTCTTTTATATAAAATAAGTGTGACACTGTAAACATTAACTATTTAAACATTTTTATTAAATTTTCATTAAACAATATTACCCTTCTAGAATCGATATAAAAGTTCACTGACATCTAGAATTATATATTGCAATAAATATTGTTTCTCCAAACATCAATATTGTAATCTAAGTATTCATTTTCTTAAATGGTCGACAAAAATACTATAAAAGTTTAATTTAATTCCATTTCATATTTGAAGGGAATGAAATATTTTTTTAAAAACGGAACAAAAGAAAGAATGTCTTAGGTTAAACTAATTATAGTTAAGTAAGTTGGAAAGAAGTAATTACCTACAGACATGAACTGTTAAGTTAATCGAGCGGCATTAAAAATTGAGCAAAACTTTAAATTTGTTTAAATTGCGCTGAAACGAATTAGTTTCCTAATTATTCAATGTCAGATATAATTATTTATTTTTAAACTTAAAAAAGACTATTAAAGCAAATCGGTTTTTAAGCTACCTTGTAGCCAGTGATAATCTAAATCAATGCCAATATAATTGCATAAAATTGTTGATGCAAGTATAAAAAATAAAAATATTTTCTTGAGTTTGACAATATATAAGTGAAAATTAAAGACATAAAATATCGAACTACCCATGAGGTATGTGTTCACCATAAAAAGAATAAAACTATAAATAAAAATTTCGGAAAATCGGTAAAAATAAAAACGTTTGCATAAACCAATAAAACAATTGTCCTACCTAAGTTTTAATTAACACAGTTATAGACAGCAGTACGTCACAAAAATATTTTAACTCTATAAGTTCAGCATTTAAACACACGGTGAAATTTAACAGAATTATGATAAATAAAAAATGATTAGTCGTCTAAAATTATTTATAAATTATTATCTCTTATTTAATTTTTCCTATATGCGGTGCCAAGTTTAAAAATATTATATCTTAACAAAGTATACATTTTCTTTTTTCTATATAAATTACTTAAGCATCTAATAAAAAATGATCGCAACAAGATATAATAGCGTTAAACCCCCCACACTTCTTGACATTGTTAGAAACTGCCAATCGTTACTATGGAATAAAATTTTTTATGCAATGCTCAAACTACAATTTAATAACAAGTGTCGTTCACGTGTTAGTTGCATTACGAGAAGAAAGTGCTAGTGTGTAAAGGGAAACAAACTCCGACCGTACTACTAAAAAAATATACACAGAAGAAAGGTGTGGCCATACGGACACGTTCGAAAATAAACTGTCCATCTCGTGTGGGATATTCTTACGTGTGTGTGGTGTTTGGACTAGCGTTAAAAAGATATGTCTCCAATCCATGTCATAAGCTGCATAATTCAGTGAACGCGTCAGTAAACATTTCGAGTGTAGACTAAAATAATTTACAATTCTGTGCAAGAAAAATAAATGATTTTTTTTTTTCAAACTATTCTACTATCTATTTGGCATTATCCGTTTAATTACTAACCGCCCAATCGAAACCCTCGCTAAACAAACAAGTTAAAATAATAATAGTAATTTATCATCGGCACGCTATATTGTCACGTTCGTCGTCTGCATTATAAACAATATTATTAGAAGACTAAAAATCACATTCCGGAGACAAAGTGGAAATGAAAAACGATTCTTTTTCGACAGCCATAAATCACCTCGGCGAGCACTATTGTTTCAACTGGCTAAAAGAACTACAGAGATCTAATGTCTTACTTTTTCTTATTTAATTGGGTCTTTAAAATTCACAGCTTGGCCCGTTCAGAACAATTTAAAAATAGAAAACGCGTATCCAACTCTAGAATTATTTTAATTATTCATAAACGTCTTTAGATTTGTACAATAATAATATTGTGTTATCAAACTACGTTTCCAACGTCACGCTTAATTTAAGAAACTTACACCTATATACACGGCGACAGCGTACATTTCTTTATTACTCGTCTAATAGGACACATAAAAAATCCCCGATGTTCACCGCGGGGACTTCTATCCGCGTTCAACGAAGACGATGACCCCGTTCGATTACACTCCCTCTTCCTTGCCCAACACAGTACAGTTGATCGACATGACACGTTGTATTATAATTATTATTTTTTTACAGCCTTCCAATATAAAGGCGAAATCGAACACAGCAAAACGCTTTAACGGGCTACATAGGAACGACAAAGTACAAAACCCACGCTGTTTCACCTGACACTATCTATTGTCGTTTTACCGGATTGGAATTCTTACGAGACAAATAAATTCATATAAAAATAACATAATGAACAACGTGGGATGTTGTAGTAATATCAATTTCTATTTTATGCACTATAGTGCCGGTCAACGCTCGGAAAACGAGTAGCGCAATATTTTAACGTGTTGTTTCCGAGATTGTGTATTTTTGATGATTTTCTATTTGTACTAATCTCGAAGCCAAGAATAATAGGCTACGATGAATAAGTGCGTGCAAACTAGAGAAAAAACGAAGAAATGTATAATAAAAGATCACAACAAGCGAAAATTTGGCCCTTTGCCCCTAGAAACATAAGCAGTAAATAGTACACGGGGCTGCCATAGAGTCCAATTTAAATTCATTCGACCTTAATACATTTTATGTGCCCGCCCTCGGGTGTTACGCGATAATGAAAATTACCGGATTCTCTTACCTGTTTTTCTCCAACTCATTATGTGTCGTCCTGTAAAAGAAAAAAAACTTGTTAATATAATTGATAATTATAAACACTTTAATGTTTTACAAAACAAATTATTATGCAATGATCCACCCCTCACTTTGTATTTCCTGAATACATATGCGAAAACCCCGGTTGTTTTGGATTCGTGCCAAATTCATCAAAAGAACAATCTCAATAACGGTTTCACTATAATAGCACAACACAAAAGTCTTTGCGTTTTGGATGTGCTAACCGAGTTTTTATGGCGGAAAAATGTCAATTAAATAATTACATTTGTTTAAATTCTGTAACTAGGTAATATTAATAATGACTATACAAAGCGAATATTTTATCGCAAGCCCCCCAATTTCTCTTAAAATAATAATTTTTTTGTGACTTTGATTTGGATTTTATTAGTTACATATGTATCTCTATCCATTAATCTGTCAATTTAAGAATGTCAACTTAATTTTTTTAAATGACACCATACATATTTAACTAGCTTATAAAATAGAAAGTGACCTAACTGACTGGTCAATAACAACTTTTAGACCAGTATTTCAGAAGTTCTGAACAAATTATAGTATTGACTGGTGGTGAAGCGCTGGTGGCTTTGATATTTTTATCACTAAACATATTTCTCCTCATCCCACCTTATTTTACAACAGCCAAAGAAAATGAGTGACTAGTGTTAAATGAATCACTCTGTATAACACTACACTAGAGTATTTATAATTTATTTGCATAATTAGGACGTTAGCTGAAATGATAAAATCCAAATTTATCCAGAAATAAAAATAAACACATCGACACCTTTCGGTAAATAGTTAGACATTAATCGTAAGACACAGTATTTTACAACAGTACTAAAAAAGCTATAAACTTTTTCTAATTTATTTTACAAATATTTTGAAAACGCATACTGCATTCGCAATTAGTTTTATTATAAAAGGCCGTACAATCGACATTACAGGTTTATAGTAAAAATATTTTTTAACTTATTAGAGGTTCATAGTAATTGTATTGGTCAACCATTTCTCGCTGCGGTATTATTTAATCTATAATTAATAAATTTGTATTCTTCAAATCAAACAACAATATAAAATGTTTAGACCATTAGTATTTTTTTCATTTATCTGTATGAATAACAGGTATTGAAAAATTTGTTGACTTATTAACAATAACAATAATTTTTTTCTTTATGAGCAATGCTTGTCTAACAAGTCTACAACACAAGTCTACTGTTAGTATTAAGTTTCACAAATGACAAAATAACGTTATTTGTTCACAATAATTGTATAGTTAGGTAACACCTAACGGATTCTCGTCTTCATTTTTTTCCGCTTAGCGACACTAACCAACACTAATCTTATATTATCACTGAATGGCAGCACAGGGTTCTCATTCAATAGACCAAACATCATCCGGAAATAGGATTGCCGTATGACAACTACACAATGAGATGCTGCAGAATATACGCTAATGACAATCGTTTTATTTGTAGGATAAAAGGCTAACCAAGTCATTTTTTAAATAAAGACAACGAAGAAGCCTTACGTCGATTTCATTCTTTTATTTTTTTTTACTCTCTTCGTGAAATAAATTGTTCTTGTTTGTTTCATGGAATAAACCGATGTAGCGTACAAAAGAAAAAAAAAAGATAAAAAAAACTAACAGCGGACACGAAGAGAGAAGAGTCAAATGATTAAACTGGTCTGCTTTGTCATCGCTGTAGGCCGCATAAAAAAATAAGTAAAAAGTTTGTAGTGAAAAACTTCAATTATTTTAATAGCCTAAAAAACTTCCTAGCAGTTGTAATTAAAAATAAAAATAAAACACATAATATCTAACGTTTGGCGTACACTCGAAGGAAAAAAGCTATTATGCGATAGGAGTATTTCTTAGACTAATGCAACGTTCACTCATTGTGTTTAAATTTCAAAAGATAAATTATTACGTCCCTAGCACTATTGCGGCCACGGGGTCTGCAAAAATCTACCCTTTACAAACATATCGGTAATGTGTAAACTCTTTATAGGGTTGTGTGTGATAGAAATTCCCTCCTTGAAACCTTTGTTCGTACACCGACATTTGTACATTCTATACGATGGGCAACGGATAGGCGAAGGACTGCTATAGTACGAACGACGTTAGAAATGGGTAAAAGAAATAAGCCTTAGTAATTACAAAGAATACTTTACTGACAAAAGTTGGAAAGAGGAAAAATAAAAACAAACGTTAGTTTCGACGAAAAATGATATAGCCCGACGTTCAGCAGCATTTTCAACCGCGACCTTTTCCTAATCACCGATGGCCTTCCGCATGCCCTGCTGGCCGGGCGTCACAAAATCGAAATTAGTTTCAACCATTAATATAATTAAACGGCCAAATTAACTAAATGGACCGGAAATTAAAAAAAAACTTTACGCCCGGTGACGATATTTTTAAGTCATTCCTTTGTACTCTTCTAAAAATAATAAATCGATAAGATTCCATTGAGGGATGTACGCGACAACACGGTTGTAAATAACAAAGTAAAATCCCACAAACGTTTCATAGCCGTTGATTCTCTAGCCTTCTTTCCACGTTGCGCTTATATATTATTATTATATATACGTGTGAAGATTGTAATAGAACGTCACGTGTACACCATTTTCAAAAACCATCTGGCCGGTCCAAAAACAATTATTACCAAGTTGGATTCACTACATTGTACTGTGCAGCGTATGTGCCCATTATAAAATGTCTAATAACACTATTATCTCGACAATAAATACATATAAGTCTATACAGGGTGTCCATTTGGTTGTCAGACACCCAATGTTTTAACTAAACATTAACATCACTAGATTTAAAGGAAAAATATAAATCAATACAGAATTGTATAGCTATACTAATCAGTATTTAATGGGATAAATCTAATAGACAAGTTATTGAGAAATCGAATAATTAAAATCAACGTTTTTGTTACAAATGAATAGAAAACTGTTACAAAAAAAAACAAAAAACAGTGACCGATACGATGGATAAAAAAAAACTAAAATAAACAAGCGGGAGTCGTTACGTGACATGACTAGAACGCTAAGTAGGTATAAGTAATTTACACGGTTTGCGCGCGCTTTGTCACACTGTCGCAGTAGCGGTAACTTAATGTATTTTATTCACCTTGACATTCTGAGAAAAAAAGAAATTAAAAAGAAAAGCGCTAAAGGTCAAACAGAATACGATTAATTGCATTTATCGTTTACGGATTAGGTAAAAATGGCGCACGCGCGTATAAACTTGCAACGAATGTGTTTTGCTTTAAATGTTTACCTTATCCCTTCCACACAAAAACCAGAGGTCAAGGTCGTAAAAATGCATGCTTTTAAATTATAAAAATATTTAACCGGAGAAAATATAGTTCAACACACTCACCGACTTCCCTGCGACTTCTTTGTCTTGGGCCTCTTCGCAGTAGCCCCTTTGAGATCGATAGTGATTGGCATCGGTGAAGCGTACCCATGTTCCGCTTCTATAACAAATAAATAATAACATGTTTATATCATTATTTGTTACCATTATTGCTACCGTCAACGGCAATAATGCACATAAACAATATTATCGTTATTTTTATACAGCGTATTTGGCGGTAACGGTAGCATATTATGGCCGCGACAAAGCAACATGCCGCCGGCAACGGCCATGGTGGGAGAAGAAGACACGCGACTGACTTACCTCTTTCGCGCCTTTCCAGGTACTCGGCGGCTTGTAATAAAGCAGCAATACTCATATTCGCTTTTATTGAGATATAAATTATCAGCCAACGTCCGGAGAAAGTGATAAGGTTTAGGTCGAAAACTGAACGACACCAAAGTCGTCGACTTTTGACGTGTACAAATAATTATTTATCACTAATTAAAATTGTAAATACGACTAGAAACAGATGAGACTTATCGCTGTGATTTGGATGGTGATGTCGCGTAAATAGTTGTTTATGTTCGCCGAAAACTTTGAAAAAAACCAGAAAAAAAATAGAAACAAACTGTGTAAATATTATATATTATGTATACTAATTTGATTTTCGTCAAACAGAAAGAGCGGCGCACACACACACAAACACCAAACGGACACTTAATTGGAACGACGGCGACGATGTCGGCGGCCGCACTAGTGAACTGCCGTACACACGCGATTAACACTCACACTCGCACACAGTCGCACAACAATGACGTGTTTGCAATGTATAAAAAATATATTCTATCTATTTAAGCATATGTGTATATATGTATACTTCAACAAAACAAAAAATTTTATTTTACAAAACAAAAACCAAGAATATATAATTTAAATCTATTGCAAATATTTACTAGAGATATTTTGATAGTAAACGGCGCGAAGCGGCGGCGACACTGCGTCGTGACCGGGACTGTTAACGCGACTGCGACCGATGGGTTATTGACGTGTATCGTGAACGGCCGTTGTGCGCGCCCCCGACCGTAACCGAACGCTACCGAACGGATGGATCAACGGGACCAACGGGGGATCACGTGAAACGCACGCCGATTACGCGCCAACAGCTGACGTGCAACGTGTACTTCACTACAGCCGTGACTCTTCGGTGCCGCTATCTATCAGTGCTTTGACAAACCTACGGAACACAATCGACAACATGATGTTTAGGTACATTCCGAGAACACAATTGTGATTACACAGCGGTTATACGTTGGTTGGTTTTATCTTTAACAAATAGATTACGTGATTCATCGTGCAGAGTGCACTCAAGACGTGTGTAGTATGATATAAATTTCAATCTCAATATTCTAATCTAAATGATAAACAAAATATATGTACAAATTAATGAACATCAACTAGATGTCAAGTAATTTTTAACTAATATTTGTCGGACTTGTGTCAAGTACTGATGTAAGTGAAATTAATGATTTTCTTAAGTGTTCTTGATATCTGTCGTACGATTTAATTGAATAGATATTGGGGTATTATTGCGTGCTTAACAATCACTCGTAATTAAATAATTAATTATGTTAATTTTTATTGAGTAATAAGTTTCAATTATACTCGATTAATTAATGGAATAAAATGCTGGAGTATTGAATATATTAATAAGAAAAATTTAATAAGTCATTGTGATATAGTCGAAAAAAATTTTTGATGTAAATTAAGAGCTCCAAAAATGCTTCCCATATTTACCCAAGTGCTACTGAAAAATAAATTATTGTAAATTTGAAAAAATCATCAAAATTATTGTATTCTGAAACAATCAAATCAATGTAATCTGAAAGTGTATAAGACTTAAAATATTTTACAGCTATTTGGAAAATCATAATTGAAGATCTTCAATTTAATTCAATCAATTACTTAAGTAAAAATCAAGAGGAATGTATTCCCCTTAGACATTTCTGAATGATCGCTACAATTCTTCAATTTTCTAACCATTAGAAACGTTATCTTGCTATATGGTTTGTCACTAGAAAATACTAGTGTATTTCAAAGGTAACTTGAAATAGTCAATGGAACTACCGAGAAAAGTCTCAGATTTAGACGACTCGAAACTAAAAATTTAAAGAATTTTCTCTATTTCCGCAATTTTTTGAATATGAATTTTTTTTTGCTCATCTTTTATAGTATGAAACCCTAATACTCAAGATCCAGGTGCCAGTTGTCTTCTCAACTTTTTTAATTCAATCATAAGGATGATATTTAAAATGAATCACATGCACTTTAGTTTCCTAAACTTCTCACTATCTCTACATGCGACCATACTAAAAAGTTGAAAAATAATAAATAAAAAATGATACGATTTTTAAAAAAACAAATTAATTAATTCCCTGTTAATAGAAAAATTTAGGTTTCTTATTAATATGAACAGATTCTAATACATACTGATATTTTAATTTTCGCACATGGTATTTTAACCTATTTAGTCATCGACCTTTAATAATACTTATTTTTGTTTTATTAAAAAATTGAAATATATTAAATACATAACTACTATGTAATTAAAGTTTGAAGTGTTTAATTTTCATGAATCACGCAAACTCGTCTTTTCAGTGTATCTAATGAGGGCACTTTTAACCCAATTCATTTTATAAATGAAATTGTGTTTAACTCGTAGGTATTAAATTTTAATAAACTGCATTTATGCCATTGTTTTAGAGTTCAATGTCCTTAAGAATCACTACAAACAATCATATTTATTAGGAAATATATTAATTTAGGTCAATATATTTTAAGCGATTGTTAATAATTTGAAATGTGTTATGCACATTTGTATTTAAGAATCTACATACAAACTTACAATGACGTTTCACCAATATTTTTAGAACTAAATAAACAATTCAAAATTAAGCAAATGCAAAATATCCATCTGTTCGGACAAAAAAAATGTAATATTTCAATAACACCGAAACAGTAAGTATCTCATTATTAATTTTATACTTTAAACGTTACATAAGATCGATGCAACTGAATACCATGAAAAATATTTTGTATTCTACACATATCATCACAGGTTAGATAAATTAATACAGGTAAAATTTTGGCTATTTTATGTTTGTACGGTGTAGTAACAATATTAAAATTTTTTATATACCTTTTTTTTTTAATTAGATTTATTGCTGATACAAATTGACAAATGATACAAAAACTTGACTTTCTTGTCTGTACTATATCTTACTAAATTTTCATTTGAATCATTATTTTAAAAAATAAAAAAAATATTTTTTTATTATAATAGTGTAATTTTAAGATATTTTTCAATATTTCTTAAAATAAAGGGTTTTTCAAATCGATATAATGAGAGCTGAGAATGGATGAACATAAAACACACACCATCAAAAACCAATACCCGCTTAGCTTCACATCGTAGCTAAAACATTTTAAAATGAAAAGTTGATAACCATGAATGACTAATCTGATAATTAATTGGATTCTAGACATAAGAACTATATTTTTTAATTTCTAAAGATAGCTTTTAAAAAAACTAAATTAAAAAAAATAATTTTTAATTTTAAAGTATGTATAAAAATAAAGAAAAATCTTTGCTATTATTATATTTAATCAATTCTATTGAATATTTTTTTTTTGTTTTGTAATTCTATTATCTAAAATAAATAGTATAATTTTTTATTAATAATATGATATTCTATTACTAGTACTACTATTGCACTGTATTTTTTTATATAAAAGATCAATAACGAAGAAATATTATTTTTCTGATATACAATATCAATAATGTTATTAGCGATGAAGAGCATATGCTCCCTTTTTCATTTTTAATCTCATGGGTAACACGATATCCTTATAACACTGTTCAAATTACACAATATTTGTTTTCAGATTAGCATGCCTATGTTATTTTTTAATTGTACACAAACAAATAATCTAGACAAAAATTAATCTACATTAAATTTAACACATATAGACTTTAAACATATAATCGTGATTTAACTCATTGCAGGGTAATGGAATTTATTAATAATTTTGCAATATAATAGAATTGATTCACAATTATATCCATCTATATTAAATTTAAAAAAAAATGTGATTTATAAATAATAAGTATAAAATATCATTTTCCACGCATAATTGTTCAATGGAAATCTCTAATATTGTTTTTTAAATATTAAGTATACAATTTTATAGCCCTGTAGACACATTATTATAACTTCATGAATTACTTTGGTGTATAAAAAAATACACAATCTATAAAATTATTCGATAGTGATTATTTAAATGTGTACTTAGACATTTTACTTAAACTTTGACATTTCACTTAAATATACTTTTCTTTGTATAAATAAGTTTATTAGTACATATAGCATAAAATGACTCAATTTAAATTTGATAACGAATAAAATTTCGAAAACATATGTTAAAATATACGTATATGTATTTTTAATTTATTTATTTTTTTAGTATTCTAAAAAAAAACAATTATAATATGATTTATTTTTAAAATTACATTACATACAAGTTTTTACAAACGATAAATCTTATTGTTTGTCTAATTCATGAAACGTTCAACAAGGAAAGTTTTAACAATGTAAAATAATTATTTGCAGACTATTTTAAATTATATTAATTGACTTTTAAAATGTTTAAAATGTTATAAGGAAATTACCAAAAAAAACACTCTAAAAAAATTATTTTATTTTATTTTACTTAAATTATAAAATTAACGAATCATTTTCTAAATCCAAATAAGAATTTGAGTAATTTAATATAGAAAATTTGCTTCTTATACTAAATTTTATGCGGGTTATATTCAAGATTAAATATACAATGTTTTCTCAAAAATAAAGTATTTTTAGGAAGACAATAATTAAGTTAATTCGGAAATTACACATCTGCTTAAACCCTCATGGCATACCTTTAGTACAACCCTGATTGTTAAATTAACAAACTCAGTTGAACGTTTTTAATCAAGATAGCTATTTAAACAGCAATTATTTTTAAACTAATATTAGGTATCTCACATTTCCTCTTGATTTTTAATATTATCTATCTATAACCAATTAACATTATTTTAATATATTAAGTAATAATAGAGTTTGTAAAAAATTCTGTTAAGAAATTGTTAATTTGTTCACCTGATTGTTAAATTATTTTTGTCACCCGAGTTTCTCTCATACAATATTTTAATATAAGTTAATAATTTAGAATCGTTATAACCCACAAGGTTAAAGCACGAAAAATCTTATATTTTTATACATTTTTACTTACGTCATTAGTTTGGTTTCAAATGTACTAAATCCATGATTTTTTAGTTGAGTAAAATCATAAACTTTACATATTCAGTTTGTATGTATGAAAAAGTTTACGATTTACTCAATATTCTAAATACATATTATAACAGCTATTCAAAAGTTCTATCAGCCATAAAGTACAATACAAATCGCATGTTCTTTTTAATATTTTTTTGTTATACTTTATTAAAGTAAGTGTTTTATAACTACGTTATTAAATTGTCAACTTAAATATGCGTGTTTTATAAAAAACTATTCACCAAAGGGCTACAAAGAGGTTTCAAAAAAAAAAACAAATAAATTAATCAGCTCTTATCATGGACCCATATATTCAAAATATTTAAAATGTATATTCTAAGTTAATAAAAAAAATGTAAGACATTGCGGGACGACTGACAAATGTGAAATATCGAAACTATTTTGTATATAAAATATACATTGAAGGATGCTTTATTAAAGGAAAATAAATATTATTAAAAATTGAAAATGGTTAATTTGTATAATTAATTATTTCTGTTATAGTAATATTTTATGTTTCCTCTGCCGGTATACTGTGACAATTGATCGATGATTTTCACTAAATTATATAAATATAATTTACATTAAATATAAAAAATCACAGCAATTTGAAATTTTTTTGCAATGCCATCCCATAAATCGGAGAAAAACGATTTCTAAAATTTAAACTAGCTTATATAGCCTTTTATATCTTCCATCAGGAACAACAAACTATTATCAGGTTGGTAAAACGTACAGCCCGAGTACAAATCCTACGGAACAAAATTTTTTTTTTCAAATTTTATAAAATAATAAAATTAAACTTGAATTTCAAAATGAAGTTAAATTATATTTCTGAATTTTTAATATAAAATTATCGATTTTACCAATCATTGTTTGTTGTACAATCAGTCAACCTCCCGAAAAATATAGACAGACTTAATCGTTATAATTATAAATATTTATATAATTATAAATATACAGAATATATATTTAATCGTTAAAGAGAAATTTCAAAAAATCCGTTAAAATTAGTATGAAAACATTTTTATGACACAAAATATAAATATACATGCTCTCGTACATTGTATACATCTTTTCTTATACATATAATTAACTTATTCTTATTTTAAATCACTTAACCTTCCGGTGGACGCGTAGCAGCACTGTGTGCTGCCAAATTAGTTTTTTCGTGATAAATACTAGTATGTATTTTTGAAAGGCTAGATAATTTCAGTACCTGTAGTTGGCAACACTAGTAATATTATCAATATATCAATTATTATTTTCCTCCATACTATCAGTCACCAGTGAAGATTTAACGTGATAGAATTCATTCGGCAGCATTCCGTTCTGCACGCGCTCACTAATGTAAGTATTTTTATTATTCAAATTTTGATAGAAACTATTGCAAATTATTTTATTACAAGNTGCAGTGTCGCCATTGTGAATCTTTTTCATAAAATTACAGTCATTCAATAGGTCATTCATGTGTCTCTATGTACTACCCATTTTATAAATGTACGCCACTTTTTGATATTGTGACATAATGTTATTTTATTCTTTTGCAAGAGACAAACTATGTTCTAATCTATGGCAGTCACTCACATTTTATTTTTACAATTATTAATTGCAAATAAAACACAGGAAACATGTTCCTAAGTGAACAACAGCACTGCATACGCTATAGATGTACGATGGGCTCGCATATTTTCCATAGGGTTATATCTCTTCTTGCCCACTAATGAGCACCCACACATGCACTATAGGTATAACACAGTGAGATGAGAGAGTATCACTAAGCCAAGTGTAAGTGAGCCCTACGCATGGCAATGGTCTCCATAAAAATTGGTTTGACCCATTGCATTAAATATTTCACATAAAAAATATTTTATTGATTTTTTTGTTCCCTCGAACCTATTTTTCAGGGGAAGCAAACTCCCATTGCTCCACTACATAGCGTATGATACGTTAAAATAAACTTTTTTGAAGATCACATATTTTCTAGGAGAACGTACCCCTTTCAACCCCCTAATAGGCGTGTCCTTTATTGACCCCGTAATTAACACCCATGCATATGCTATAGGTATATAAAATCAGCGCTGTGATAGAGAGGTGGGGTCGCCAAGACGAGAGCAAAGACAGAGGCCATTCGCTCGTGATGACGCGTCGCCAAGCTATCAGCCAGTCTGAGCCGCCTCAAAAGATGTTTCATATCAATTAAAACATATTCAGTAAATTATAAAGATTATTTTAGAATTCAAATTGAAACATGTAACAGAAATAAAAGATTATGAGATTAAAATATAATGATCAACAGAAAGGAATTTTATCCCATAGGTTTTAATCAGATTTAAAAAAATATATATGCATAAAATAGATTATTAAAGCTCAAGTAACGTACAATTCAAAATTGTAATTTCCAATATAATTAAATCAACTAAAGTTATCAAAAACACCCTAACATTCGCTGACAGTAAATATATGATTTCTACATAAATTTGACTTAAAAGTTTTTTTAAATCAAATGAAAACGAACGTCCTTTGAAAATATTAATCGTTAGCCATTAGATTAATTACAGTAAAAATGGTCGCATAACAATGATACAATAGTATTATTGTAGGACACGTTTATTTTAATATTATACAGACTACCTAATCTTTTGCCGTGTACAGAAATAATGACGATCAAAATTGTAGATACTTGGTAAATAATAAATTACGGCAGTTAATTACGGGACGTGAACAAATTACGAATAATTAAGCATAAAATAAACATGTAAACAATCTAGTCAAGTTAAAATAGAATTTTTATTGTTAAAGTATCCTCAGGTCATGTCTTATTTTTATTAACGTCATTATGTTTTAACAGCCATTTTATCAAATGTAAAATTGAATTTTATACGTTTCTAAAAATTTACTTGATTTTCATTGAAACTCAAAACCATCAACCAACATTTTTATTCAAACGTTGCTATACATCATAATAATAATTAATATATACAAACCCTAGATGAATGGGGCAAAGAACAAAGAACACTTGTAAATTATTTTAAAATTGACATTTATATTGTTTTATAATGATGGATTTAAACACATTTTTTTTACGTTAAACTAAATTTTTATTGATGGAATAGATGTTTTATTAAAACGATAAAGATAGAAATTATTTATATATATTTTGATTTAATGATAGTAATAAAATTACTAGGCGAAGGCAATGTAATATTTACAACATTAATGAATATTGTCACTAAAAGGTTTTATCGATCGATGTGTAATTTAAAACTT